GTATGAGCTATGTGATGTTGCAGAGGAGTGCGGGGAGCCCTTGACAGCCATAGTTGAAGCTAAGAGTACTGAGAATTTTGAAAGTACAAACAGTTTTTTTTGTGATTCCCTGGTATACGTTGCAGCTTGGTATATTTTTGTTATGACTGGTATATTTAGTTGGAATTAGTTAATAGAGGTTAATATAAGCACTTAATGCTGTTAATTCAGTATGACTTACCATCGATTAGGGTTTCGTAGGTGTTTGCAGGACGGCTTGGGGCCTTTGTCTAAGGTGGATGTAACCAGCATTAATATAGCCTTTCTAATTCGTAATTTTGGCTATCATATTTTGCCTATCTTAACTTTCCAACAGGTAAGTTACTAACATCTTTTGCCATGTCATATCTTGTTCTCTGGAGAAAGGAAAATCTTTAAAATTTGCTGCACCATCCCTAATTTTAATGAATTCTGGCTTGAGTTGATGAGAAAGGCTCTTGTGGAAGACATAAGAAATTTGAATGACATGCTTGATTGTTGGGGGTTGAGCAATTATGTGAAAATACATCAAGCATCATCACCATGCTTTGCCAAGACTCAATCAATGCCTTAGGAATCGGGTTTAATTGCAAGGGTAAGTCTACAAACTATCCACCTACCGTCCGCTGCAGACTACACAAGTCGATTCAATGAGCAAATGATGAATTAAGAAGGCCGAATCTATGGCAAAAGACATTTTCCCCACATGTAATGTCAGTCGGCCCCAATGTTTAAATATCAAATGTCAACTTCCATGGTAAAGGTCATTTTCAGAGCTCGAATCCTAGATTTTGTGAGAGCAAACCATAGTCTGGATTATTCGATTAACCTTTCATGGTTAATCAAGGCTAGTATAAGATTTTTTTTTTTTTTTTTTTTTTTTTTTTTTTTTTTTTTTTTAATGATGGAATGGTATTTTAATAATCAAAACCGGCCAAAGACTAATTTTGATGGGATAGAGGGAACTGGAGACTACTAAATCTATTTCCAACATTTGGGGAAATTTGTCATTTCGCCATAGGTTGGGGGTCAAATATTTTCTAGATGAACCATTTCCATGCATCCGAATATCTCAAAAACCTGAGCCCCACTACCCAATAAAGACACAACAAGATGTGGACTGAAGATAAGAATGGCTTAAATGATGATAGCAGTAGAGAAAGATGCTTTTTCAATGGTGTGAAATTTCTCAGCTCCACTCAAGAATTGTATCATCTTTCAATTTATAACCACTCCACCTACACTTTCTCTTTTTACAGAGAAAAAAAAGAAAATTATTGTTCAGCAAGGTGATCCTCACTCTATGGATAATATCAGAGCGTTCCATTTCATTGTTTTTGTGTTGGTTTTGCATAGAGTGAGAGATCACTTTGCCAGGCTTTGTAATGGAAGTATGGAAGCATGGAGACCCACTGATGATGAGCTCAGATCAATATACTGCATCATTTCTCGAAATGGGTGGCATGGGAAAAGTTATTCTTTCTTTTTTAAGATGTTTTGTAGAGCTGGGAGTAGTCCTGCAATGTCGCTCTGTCTCGAGTAACTCCAGTCTCTCTTGATGTCCATTGGTCTTTTCTCAAATCTATTATCTATTTTTAGATTACATTTTTGTGTGTCTTATCCTTCAGATGACTGAAATCTATGTATCATGAATTTTTTCAGTACGTGCTTGAAAAAAACTGTTGTCTTTGCTTTTGCCTCTGGATCGAAACAGAGCTACGCTTTGTGTTTGAAGGTGTTTTTCTTTGGAGTTCATTCACTCTGTTTTACCTGTTCATCATTCTTGTTCTCACCACTTCCATTGTCATTTGCATTTTCTTAAACTTTATCGAATACGAACACACATAAGGAAAACAGAAACATGCTTTGGCAAATGGCAATGCACATATACATTGAAGACCTAACTGCAGAAAGATTCAGTTCTTGTGCAATTGAGTCGAAAACTCAATATGAACTATACCCTTTATTACCTTGCAGTTTTATATTCATTGAACATAATTATTGCAAGAACTATGATCTATTCAGGTATCATGGTTTTATGAGTTATGATTTCTGCGTGCAGGATCAAGTTCACCAACAGAAATATGCTTTTGAATGATTTTGTTAATGTCACCTTCAAGTAAGAGGTTCATGATGCAAACAGCATCTAGATTGTTTTACTTTTATTCAAACCTGCTTTTATATTCATAAACAGCAGGAGCACAGATAAGGCAGCACAAGCGCTTCAGCTAATGTACACAAGAAATAAAAAGCAATATGGCGGCTAAGTGCTAGATGAACCATTTATTCAGCCATCTTGGTCAGCTTGTCCTCACTGTGTGTAGGGAATACGAAACCTGTGTTTTTCAGGCCCTGCTACCATGTCTCCCAAAGCGATCAGACAGTGCCATTGACAATTCTCCCACCTTACCTTTACAAATACAACAAAATTTGTGAGAGTATGACTTCTAGTTCATACTTCTTCGAAAAACATATAGCAGCGCAGCCCTAAAATGCAGTTACCAAGATAAAGCAATAATATTAGTGATTGAGGATTGTTGTTACCATCTCCAATGGGTTGTTCATCCCACTTGATGATAGGCATATTGGAAGTGTTGCTTCCTATGTACATCATTTCAGCTGCATTTTTAGCTTCCTCAATCGTGAGATTGCAGTTTTGATGCTTTTCAATCTCCCTTGCTCAACCAATTTGGGTGCTAGTTCTAGAAGTCTCTTTGCAGTGCATCCACCAAGGATCTTATCAAAATGAGGCAAAATAAGCTCCTTATCTGTGTTATAAAACCCACATTAACGTTTGGACCCTCCGCGATGTAACCTGCCTCGTCATCCAAATGAAGCTGATGCCCATGCTCTTCAGCTTCCATCTTTGCAAGGACATTTGGGAGATAGTTTACATTTTCATTGTGGCGAAAAGTGGTGGCTTCATGGGATACTGGATGTAATGACATTAACCCCTTCTTTGCATTGCAAAATGTCATCAGCGATGACTACGCATAGAATGCCGGTGTTAGACAGCCTGCAGGCGAGAGCAAGAAGTCCCCAGGACCGGCACTCAACCAATACCTTAGAGTCCCTTTCTTGCATGTGATGCAGCTGCTAATTGCACAAGAATGCTTCGAAGCATTGTTCGAGGGAAGGGAGACGATATCCTCGCTTTTGCAGCTGATCTAAGAAAACGATCTAGATGGACATCAAGCTCATACAGATATCTACGTAATCAGAAGCAAACATTTTCATCATTACTGAGATCCACAATCTAGAATATCATCAACTTTACAATCATTTGCTGCTTAAAATGAAATTGCAAGTTCTAAGCACACAAGTCAATAGAACGGGGTTATGCCTACCCATCTAAAATATAGCAGTATCAAACACCCCATGCCCTCGATGAACCATGTGATCATCAATGGAATTACCATCATAGCAGGACAAGAATATTCCACCAAATATGCTGGAATACATAGCTGGGTATGGTTTCTTTTCCACTGAACTCCACTTCTCGTGCAGCTTTTCAAGCAACTGGTTTTATAAAACAGTATGAGAGCAACAAGAAAGTCATAAAACAATGCATTTCTCCAAAAAAGCTACAAATTAAAAAAAAAAAAAAATGAATTAGAATGACAAAAGCAAGTTGACACTTCAATATTAGAAGAGAAACTTTCACTCTTGAATTCTTAATCTTTATGGAGGAAATTAACACACAAAGCATATCCATGTTCATTATATCTAATAATGTATGATTAAATAATTCAGGCTGGATGAAAGAGTACAATTCAAACAACAACATTCAAGCACTGAAAGAAATTAATAACGGAGTGATAGAAAAGATGGGGTTCTGAGTTTTCACTTCTGATGATGATGAGAACACGTGAGCTTTAAAATCACAGCCATTTTCAGCCTCCACTGCAGCCATTTCACCTTCAAATCAAACAACAAACAAAGCACCTAGTAAATTCAATAAATCACCAAACATAATCAAAAACTCTGAACAGAAATAAACAAAATTTACCAGATTTTTTATCCACAGTGATTAGGATTAGAAATGAGAGAGACCCTTTTGCTGTGGATTGAAGAAGAGAGTCATAGAATATATAGGACTTAAATAGGAGATAATTAAAGAGACTTTAAGCTTAAAAAAATTAGTGTATGAGATGGAATCCATTTTTGTGTCAGCACTTAGCACTTTGTCTTATAGTATTGAAAAGTGATTGGTTATTAGTTGAACTTCAACACAATTACTCTCAGTTTGGAGTGCCATTTGTTCTGTCTGCATTTTGACCATGGGGTTTTGGCTATATTATCGACCAAATCAAAACATACTTAAGAAATAAATCAAATACAGAGAGGAATATGTTGTTATATTAATGGTGTGTTTAATGGGATTGCACGTCATCGTCTTGTCAATATAATTCACAAATTGTATCAAAAAATGGGAAGTTTTTTTTTTTTTTTTTAATCAGGGTATACAGGCTAACTTACGCACACATCAAATAATCCTTCAAGACCCTATTAGCACCTGGAATTATTGACCGGACAAGAGCTCCAATAGCTATTCCTATTAGCACCAGATGATAGATTTGAACTCAAGACCTCTTGAGTAATATAGCCAAGAGTCCCTATCAAATCACTCGGACATCCAGACATGGTTAAAATGAGAAGTGGTTACTACACATGGGAAAGCTCTTGTGAGACGAACCTTTTTTTAACATGAAATCTAATCTTATTATGAATAAGCAGTATATTTCTTGATATGTTTAATATAAGAATCAACATAAATCTCAAATATTTTATCAATGACTCATCTATTGGAATTTAATCCCTATTTTTTTGTTTTTATTAATGCTCTTGAAGTGTTAGTTGGGCCGGCACGGAAGTATATGCAATTGGGCCAAATATTTAACTTCTAGCTAATGGCTACATTCTTCCTAACTCTAGTGTTCAAAGAACACAATTAAACAAAGATGACATTATAGAATCTGAACTTTAATATAATAGTAAGATAATTGGTTCATGATTGAGAACCAACCCCTTTTATTGTTCTTTCACAAAGCTACATACAACAAATAAGACAACATTCAGAAAGCTATTACATCTATTGCTCTGAAAACAATTTGAAAGTTGAAAGTAAATTTTGCTGGATAAATATCAGCTTTGGTAGTGATTGATTTTTGTTGTAAATATTATTTACAACCCAATAAATATAACAACATAAATGAACCCACTGGATAAATAATATTATTCTTTGTAACAATTATGCCATGGCAAGTATGCAGAATAGGTCGATTAATAGCATTCTTATTGACTGAACTTGAGCTTTCTAATATACTTCCAATTGCTTGGCATGCCTTTCACAGAAAGATTTTACCCTGCCTAACGCTTCCTCGAGGGAGTATTCATCAGCAGCAAAAGTTATTCGGAGCCAATCTTTTAGCCCCACAGCAGTTCCTGCGAAACAGAATCGATGCAATTCCATTTGTTGGTAACCATGAGTTGATTGATATACTTAATAAGTTCAGAATGGTATACTTAATTGAATGCCACAGACTGATAAGTTACATGTTCAAATTTGTTTGTTTCTTACCAGGAAGAATGATCACAGATTCCTCTTTTGCCAGCTTGAAACAGAAATCGATATCATCACTGATATCGTCGAGGAATGAAACATTAAGTTTCACCTGCATCAAATTAAAAAAATTAAATTTGTAAGATTAATTTTATAAGGCTTTTGTTTACGAGAACAGCTAATTCCGCTATTTCTTACCATTACAGCCATAGATCCCTCTGGTTTGTAGGGGCAACTAATGCAAGGAATCTCCTTTATCCATTCATAGCAGATATCTGAGCTATTCTTCAGTATATTTATGGTTTGCTGGAAGAAAAGCTCATCAGTTTGCTCGATGATGCGAGGAACGGCTGCCTGACACAACAAATGCATTGTATAGATGAGAAACAAACTCTTTGATCAAGTTATCCAAAACAATTTGGTACCTAATAACAAGCACTTGTACAATTCATAGTAGTTGATTTAATTAAAACTTTAGTTGCTAGGAAGCTATGGATATGTTATTTTATCATATTATTTTCCTCTATTTAATTGTTGTTCTCAGCATATTATTGACTTCAGAAACTTCAACTTCTTTGTGATGAAAATTGCTTGTTAATGAAATGATATATTTTTGGTATAGAAACATACGGTTGCAGATAAAGAAAAGTGCCTTGAGGTGTTCAAACAAGCATTTGAAAAACAAACCTGAATGAAGGTTGCAGGGCCCCCAAGGAGATCAAAGTACTTCTTAATACGCTCAACAACCTGAGAAGAAGAGATCATGATGAAAACCACACTCCATGAGATGTAAAAAATGCAAACAAGGTGTAAGAAAAAATTATGATATGAAGTAAAACCAGCCCTTGTAACAAAAGGAGAACATGGAGTGAGAACTACCAGGTATTTGAAGAAAGTAAAAAGACATTGCCCCTCGGTAACAAAGGTCAACTGAGAACTAGACGTAGTAACCTAAAACAACTAATCCGAATTCTGCATAATGGTTGCATCCTCATAATTGAAAATCCAACTATAGCTTGACCTTAAACAGTATGAACCATAGAACTCTGACGAAGCTCATTACAGCAACCATTTAGTGCAGTCAAATGATGAGAGAAGTTTATCTGCTAAATAAACTCAACTTCTCTTATGCTGTGTGACTGCTTGAATACAAGAAGACTTCAAATCACTTATAGCTAATTAAGTTCATTGTTGTGAAGTTAAAAAGCACACACTTAAGCAGTTCTAGAAAACATTGATCACATATACAAGAGAGACAAGGATAGAACCTTCGGTTTTCTAAACATGCCGCAAGGGTCACTTGTCACGAACCAACCAAGTCGCCATCCAGGTACAATCCATCTCTTTGATAAAGATCCAAGAGTAAGAACGGGAACAATCGAGCCAAAAACTCCCATTGGCACAAATGGCTTACTCCCAAAAGCAAGGTGCCCATAAACTTCGTCAGCGATGACAAGAGTTCTTAGCTTGTTTGCAGTTTCTGCAATCTAAGCACAATACACAGGAAATTGAATTACTCCTTGTTTAGTTAAATGTAAATTTTGTCCCTGAAGACATAATCTTTGTAGCACTTGAAGCAACACTTTATTTGACTAACCTTCTTCAAATGTTGGTAAGAATATACATTTCCACAAGGATTGCCGGGGTTTATAACTACCACTGCTACAGTGTTTTTATCTGCAAGAGCTTCAACAGCATCAAGATCAACCTCCCAACCCTTCTCAGGCAAAAGATCAAAATACCGAACCTCAAGATGTCTAAAGCCAGCACTAAGTTCGTAGATTGGGAAGCCTGGCCTTGGAAGCAAGATATTTGCACCCGGGCGCGCAAGCATTGCCATTGCAACATCTATGGCTTGCGTGCAGCCACAAGTGATAAATACATCTTCCGATGATAACTTGTAAGGAAGATCCAGGGATACTGGAGACTACTAAATCTATTTCCAAATTTGGGAAATTTGTATTTCGCCATAGTTGGGGGTCAAATAGTTTCTAGATGAACCATTTCCATGCATCGAAATCTCAAAAACCTGAGCCCCACTACCCAATAAGACACAACAAGATGTGGACTGAAGATAAGAATGGCTTAAATGATGATAGCAGAGAGAAAGATGCTTTTTCATGGTGTGAAATTTCTCACTCCACTCAAGAATTGTCATCTTTCAATTTATAACCACTCCACCTACACTTTCTCTTTTTACAGAGAAAAAAAGAAAATTATTGTTCAGCAAGTGATCCTCACTCTATGATAATATCAGAGCGTTCATTTCATTGTTTTTGTGTTGGTTTTGCATAGAGTGAGAGATCACTTTGCCAGGCTTTGTAATGGAAGTGATGGAAGCATGGAGACCCACTGATGATGAGCTCAGATCAATATACTGCATCATTTCTCGAAATGGGTGGCATGGGAAAATTATTCTTTCTTTTTAAGATGTTTTGTAGAGCTGGGAGTAGTCCTGCAATGTGCTCTGTCTCGAGTAACTCCAGTCTCTCTTGATGTCCATTGGTCTTTTCTCAAATCTATTATCTATTTTTAGATTACATTTTTGTGTGTCTTATCCCTTCAGATGACTGAAATCTATGTATCATGAATTTTTCAGTACGTGCTTGTAAAAATGTTGTCTTTGCTTTTGCCTCTGGATCAGAAACAGAGCTACGCTTTGTGTTTGAAGGTGTTTTTCTTTGGAGTTCATTCACTCTGTTTTCCTGTTCATTATTCTTGTCTCACCACTTCCATTGTCATTTGCATTTTCTTAAACTTTATCGAATACGAACACACATAAGGAAAACAGAAACATGCTTTGGCAAATGGCGAATGCACATATACATGAAACTACTGCAGAAAGATTCAGTTCTTGTGCAATTGAGTCGAAAACTCAATATGAACTATACCCTTTATTACCTTGCAGTTTTATATTCATTGAACATAATTATTGGCAAGAACTATGATCTATTCAGGTATCATGGTTTTATGAGTTATGATTTTGCGTGCAGATCAAGTTCACCAACAGAAATATGCTTTTGAATGATTTTGTTAATGTCACCTTCAAGTAAGAGGTTCATGATGCAAACAGCATCTAGATTGTTTACTTTTATTCAAACTGCTTTTATATTCATAAACAGCAGGAGCACAGATAAGGCAGCACAAGCCTTAGCTAATGTACACAAGAAATAAAAAGCAATAGGCGGCTAAGTGCTAATGAACCATTTATTCAGCATCTTGGTCGCTTGTCCTCACTGTGTGTAGGGAATACGAAACCTGTGTTTTCAGGCCCTGCTACCATGTCTCCCAAAGCGATCAGACAGTGCCATTGACAATTCTCCCACCTTACCGTTACAAAACAACAAAATTTGTGAGAGTATGACTTCTAGTTCATACTTCTTGAAAAACATATAGCAGCGCAGCCCTAAAATGCAGTTACCAAGATAAAGAATAATATTAGTGATTGAGGATTGTTGTTACCATCTCCAATGGGTTGTTCATCCCACTTGATGATAGGCATATTGGAAGTGTGCTTCCTATGTACATCATTTCAGCTGCATTTTTAGCTTCCTCAATCGTGAGATTGCAGTTTTGATGCTTTTCAATCTCCCTTGCTCAACCAATTTGGGTGCTAGTTCTAGAAGTCTCTTTGCAGTGCATCCACCAAGGATCTTATCAAAATGAGGCAAAATAAGCTCCTTATCTGTGTTATAAAACCCACATTAACGTTTGGACCCTCCGCGATGTAACCTCCTCGTCATCCAAATGAAGCTGATGCCCATGCTCTTCAGCTTCCATCTTTGCAAGGACATTTGGGAGATAGTTTACATTTTCATTGTGGCGAAAAGTGGTGGCTTCATGGGATACTGGATGTAATCATTAACCCCTTCTTTGCATTGCAAAATTCATCAGCGATGACTACGCATAGAATGCCGGTGTTAGACAGCCTGCAGGCGAGAGCAAGAAGTCCCCGGACCGCACTCAACCAATACCTTAGAGTCCTTTCTTGCACTGTGATGCAGCTGCTAATTGCACAAGAATGCTTCGAAGCATTGTTCGAGGGAAGGGAGAATATCCTCGCTTTTGCAGCTGATCTAAGAAAACGATCTAGATGGACATCAAGCTCATACAGATATCTACGGTAATCAGAAGCAAACATTTTCATCATTACTGAGATCCCACAATCTAGAATATCATCAGACTTTACAATCATTTGCTGCTTAAAATGAAATTGCAAGTTCTAACACACAAGTCAATAGAAGGTTATGCCTACCCATCTAAAATATGCAGTATCAAACACCCATGCCCTCGATGAACCATGTGATCATCAATGGAATTACCATCATAGCAGGACAAGAATATTCCACCAAATATGCTGGAATACATAGCTGGTATGGTTTCTTTTCCACTGAACTCCACTTCTCGTGCAGCTTTTCAAGCAACTGGTTTTATAAACAGTATGAGAGCAACAAGAAAGTCAAAAACAATGCATTTCTCAAAAAAGCTACAAATTAAAAAAAAAAATGAATTAGAATGACAAAAGCAGTTGACACTTCAATATTAGAAGAGAAACTTTCACTCTTGAATTCTTAATCTCTATGGAGGAAATAACACACAAAGCTATCCATGTTCATTATATCTATAATGTATGATTAATAATTCAGCTGGATGAAAGAGTACAATTCAACAACAACAAATTCAAACACTGAAAGAAATTAATAACTAAGTGATAGAAAAGATGGGGTTCTGAGTTTTCCACTTCTGATGAGGACGAGAACACGTGAGCTTTAAAATCACAGCCAATTTCAGCCTCCACTGCAGCCATTTCACCTTCAAATCAAAAAAAACAAAGCACCTAGTAAATTCAATAAATCACCAAACATAATTAACCTCTAACCGAAATAAACAAAATTACCAGATTTTTTATCCACGTGATTAGGTTAGAAATGAGAGAGACCCTTTTGCTGTTTTGAAGAAGAGAGTCATAGAAATATAGGACTTAAATAGAGATAATTAAGACTTTAAGCTTAAAAAAATTAGTGTATGAGATGGAATCCTTTTTGTGTCAGCCCTTAGCACTTTGTCTTATAGTATTGAAAAGTGATTGGTTTTAGTTGAACTTCAACACAATTACTCTCAGTTTGGAGTGCCATTTGTTCTGTCTGCATTTTGACCATGGGGTTTTGGCTATATTATCGACCAAATCAAAACATACTTAGAAATAAATCAAATACAGAGAGGAATATGTTGTTATATTAATGGTGTGTTTAATGGGATTGCACGTCATCGTCTTGTCAATATAATTCACAAATTGTATCAAAAAATGGGAAGTTTTTTTTTTTTTTTTTAATCAGGGTATACAGGCTAACTTACGCACACATCAAATAATCCTCAAGACCCTATTAGCACCTGGAATTATTGACCGGACAAGAGCTCCAATAGCTATTCCTATTAGCACCAGATGATAGATTTGAACTCAAGACCTCTTGAGTAATAAGCCAAGAGTCCCTATCAAATCACTCGGACATCCAGACATGGTTAAAATGAGAAGTGGTTACTACAAATGGGAAAGCTCTTGTGAAACGAACTTTTTTTACATGAAATCTAATCTTTTATAATAAGCAGTATATTTCTTGATACGTTTAATATAAGAATCAACATAAATCTATTGGAATTTAATCCCTTTTTTTTGTTTTTATAAATGCTCTTGAAGTGTTAGTTGGCCGGCACGGAGTATATGTAATTGGGCCAAATTTTACCTTCTAGCTAATGGCTACATTCTTTCAAACTCTAGTGTTCAAAGAACACAATTAACAACGATGACATTATAGAATGTTTAGCATGGGATCTTAAGTTCTTGTTGTTTGGATTGAGAAATGGAAACATTTTTTGTTAAATTAGGCTGTGTGGTGACGAGGTATTCCTGGCCAGTGACAAATGTGTAGCGATTGCTGATTAGGCTTGGCTCTCTTATTTTTTAGATTTTAATAATATTATAGATATAATGGGACCTACATTATTCATGACACTCCTTGTACTAAGTTGTATTGTTAACAACTATTTATTGTAGATTCAGTGTTTGATTCGTATTTCGTGCTCTTTTTATTTGATGGGAGATTGGAAGAACAGTAAAAGAAGCAAGAAAAATTACAGTTTAATGTGAATGATTCCTTTGTAATTATTGGTTTTTTAAAGGTGCCAATGTGTCTTTGTTGCTGGTGAAATTGGGTTTGTCCTTTTTAATCGTCTCTTTGATATTCATATCTTGGTGCTTGGGAGTGCATTTTACCTTATAAAATTTGAAGCTGTTGATTACTTCCCCTAGCTCACCCAACACCCTCCTGATTATCTCTATGCTTTATGTCTTAGTTAAGTTAAGCTGATTATTCGGTTTGCTCCTAAATGTTCTTTTTTTGGTCAATTACTATTTATCTTGGACATTCCACCGTTGAGTTCTTGATCTGTACTTTTACTAATCACTTGATAGTAGAAGACCACGAATTTAAAACTGTTTATGGTTCAATATGTTTTCAAAATTATGATGTGATGTGATTGGTGGCAAGAGGTAACTTTTGGAAGCCTTGATAGGAGGGTTGTAATTTCAATTGCTGCCTAGGTCTTGGCTAAGGTATTTCTTTCTTGCCTAACTCAGCACAAACTATTTGCCTTGAATTCTTGCTGATTGTAGTATGCTAACGGCTCACTGACTGAAGATTCATTCGTGGAAGGTGCCATAGTGTTAATAGTATAGATTTGTATACCACTTGTGTGTCTACTTTCCTACTAGTACAGTCTGTGTGCATCGCACATGTTTACTCTGACACCAATCTAAAATGTTATACTTCCTCTTAAGTATAAATTAATTTATAATTGTGCGTCTCATAGATTAGCATTGACTAGAAGAGCATTGCCAACATTGCACTGATGAATGCTGTAAAATTATCCAATCTTTCCCTTTCCTGGTCAATATATCATTGTTGACCTCATTGACTGGAGGGAATCTTGTTTTATTTTCGTGTTTTAAGTGAATGTTGATGTAACAGTTTACTTGATTTTAATGAAAGTAGCTAAGTTGGAATATGGTATACAAATTATTTGATAATTAAGTGGCTGGGAAATGTTACAGTTTGTCCATTTTTTATAATTCAATTGTTCTACCTTAATAACTTTCCAATGTTTTCTGATGCTTATTGATCAGTCGACATGATGAAGCCTGGTACAACTGTTATTCTCCGTAATGCAAAGATTGACATGTTTAAGGGATCTATGAGGCTAGCAGTTGACAAATGGGGCCGTGTTGAGGTCACAGAGCCTGCAGAATTTGTTGTCAAAGATGATAACAATCTCTCTTTAGTCGAGTATGAGCTAGTGAATGTTGCAGAGGAGTGACGGGGAGCCCTTGACAGCCATATTTGAAGCTAAGAGTACTTGAGAATTTTGAAACTACAACAGTTTTTTTTGTGATTCCCTGGTAATACGTTGCAGCTTGGTAATATTTTGTTATGACTGGTATATTTAGTTCGGAATTAGTTAATAGATGTTAATACAAGCAAACTTAATGCTGTTAATTCAGTATGACTTACCATCGATTAGGGTTTCGTAAGGTGTTGGCAGGGACGGCTTGGGGCCTTTGTCGAAGGTGGAATGTAAACAAGCATTAATATAGCCTTTCTAATTCGATATTTTGCCTATCATATTTTGCCTATCTAACTTTCCACCAGGTAAGTTACTAACATCTTTTTTGACATGTCATATCTTGTTACTCTGTGAGAAAGGAAAATCTTTAAAATTTGCTGCACCATCACTAATTTTAATGAATTCTGGCTTGAGTTGATGAGAAAGGCTCTTGTGGAAGACATAAGAAAATTTGAATGACATGTTTGATTGTTGGGAGGTCTGAGCAATTTGTGTGAAAAATACATGAAGCATCATCACCATGCTTTGCCAAGGACTCAATCAATGCCTTAGGAATCGGGTTTAATTGCAAGGGTAAGTCTACAAACTATCCACCTACCGTCCGCTGCAGACTACACAAGTCGATTCAATGAGCAAATGATGAATTAAGAAGGCCGAATCTATGGCAAAAGACATTTTCCCCACACGGAATGTCAGTCGGCCCCAATGTTTAAATATCAAATGTCAACTTCCATGGTAAAAGGTCATTTTCAGAGCTCGAATCCTAGATTTTGTGAGAGCAAACCATAGTCTTGATTATTCGATTAACCTTTCATGGGTTAATCAAGGGTTAGTATAAGATTTTTTTTTTTTTTTTTAATGATGGAATGGTATTTTAATAATCAAAACCGGCCAAAGACTAATTTTGATGGGATAGAGGGAGACTGGAGACTACTAAATCTATTTCCAACATTTGGGGAAATTTGTCATTTCGCCATAGGTTGGGGGTCAAAATAGTTTCTAGATGAACCATTTTCCATGCATCCGAAAAGTCTCAAAAACCTGAGCCCCACTACCCAATAAAGGACACAACAAGATGTGGACTGAAGATAAGCATGGCTTAAATGATGATAGCAGAAGAGAAAGATGCTTTTTCCATGGTGTGAAATTTCTCCATCTCCACTCAAGAATTGCATCATTTCCAATTTATAACCACTCCACCTACACTTTCTTCTTTTACAGAGAAAAAAAAGAAAATTATTGTTCAGCAAGGTGATCTCTCACTCTATTGATAATATCAGAGCGTTTCATTTCATTGTTTTTGTGTTGGTTTTGCATAGAGTGAGAGATCACTTTGCCAGGCTTTGTAATGGAAGTGATGGAAGCATGGAGACCCACTGATGATGAGGCTCAGATCAATAATACTGCATCATTTCTCGAAATGGGTGGCATGGGAAAAGTTATTCTTTCTTTTTTAAGATGTTTTGTAGAGCTGGGAGTAGTCCTGCAATGTTGATCTGTCTCGAGTAACTCCAGTCTCTCTTGATGTCCATTGGTCTTTTCTCAAATCTATTATCTATGTTTAGATTACATTTTGTTTGCGTCTTATCCCTTCAGATGACTGAAATCTATGTATCATGAATTTTTCAGTACGTGCTTGTAAAAATGTTGTCTTTGCTTTTGCCTCTGGATCAGAAACAGAGCTACGCTTTGTGTTTGAAGGTGTTTTTCTTTGGAGTTCATTCACTCTGTTTTACCTGTTCATTATTCTTGTGCTCACCACTTCCATTGTCATTTGCATTTTCTTAAACTTTATCGAATACGAACACACATAAGGAAAACAGAAACATGCTTTGGCAAATGGCGAATGGCAACATAATACATTGAAGAACTAACTGCAGAAAGATTCAGTTCTTGTGCTAATTGAGTCGAAAACTCAATATGAACTATACCCTTTATTACCTTGCAGTTTTATAATTCATTGAACATAATTATTTTGCAAGAACTATGATCATATTCAAGTATCATGGTTTTATGAGTTATGATTTATGCGTGCAGAAATCAAGTTCACCAACAGAAATATGCTTTTGAATGATTTTGTTAATGTCACCTTCAAGTAAAGAGGTTCATGATGCAAACAAGCATCTAGATTGTTTTACTTTTATTCAAACTTGCTTTTATATTCATAAACAGCAAGAGCACAGATAAGGCAAGCACAAGGCTCTTTTAGCTAATGTACACGAGAAAATAAAAAGCAATAAGGCGGCTAAGTGCTACATGAAACCATTTATTCAGCAATCTTGGTCGGCTTGTCCTCACTGTGTGTAGGGAATACGAAACCTGTGTGTTTCAGGCCCTGCTACCATGTCTTCCCAAAGCAGATCAGACAGTGCCATTGACAATTCTCCCACCTTACCTGTTACAAACACAACAAAAATTTGTGAGAATATGACTTCTAGTTCATACTTCTTGGAAAAACATATAGCAGCGCAGCCCTAAAATGCAGTTACCAAGATTAAAGTAAATAATATTAGTGATTGAGGATTGTTGTTACCATCTCCAATGGGTTGTTCATCCCACTTGATGATAGGCAATATTGGAAGTGTGCTTCCTATGTACATCATTTCAGCTGCATTTTTAGCTTCCTCAATCGTGAGATTGGCAGTTTTGATGCTTTTCAATCTCCCTTGCTCAACCAATTTGGGTGCTAGTTCTAGAAGTCTCTTTGCAGTGCATCCACCAAGGATCTTATCAAAATGAGGCAAAATAAGCTCCTTATCATGTGTTATAAAACCCACATTAACGTTTGGACCCTCCGCGATGTAACCTTCCTCGTCAATCCAAATAGAAGCTGATGCTCCATGCTCTTCAGCTTCCATCTTTGCAAGGACATTTGGGAGATAGTTTACATTCTTCATTGTGGCGAAAAGTGGTGGCTTCATGGGGATACTGGATGTAATGACATTAACCCCTTCTTTGCATTGCAAAATGTCATCAGCGATGACTACAGCATAGAATGCCGGTGTTAGACAGCCTGCAGGCGAGAGCAAGAAGTCCCCAGGACCGGCACTCAACCAATACCTTAGAGTCCCTTTCTTGCACTGTGATGCAGCTGCTAATTGCACAAGAATGCTTCGAAGCATTGTTCGAGGGAAGGGAGACGATATCCTCGCTTTTGCAGCTGATCTAAGAAAACGATCTAGATGGACATCAAGCTCATACAGATATCTACGGTAATCAGAAGCAAACATTTTCATCATTACTGAGATCCAACAAATCTAGAATATCATCAGACTTTACAATCATTTGCTGCTTAAAATGAAATTGCAAGTTCTAACCACACAAGTCAAATAGAAATGAGTTATGCCTACCCATCTAAAATTATAGCAGTATCAAACACCCCATGCCCTCGATGAACCATGTGATCATCAATGGGAATTACCATCATAGCAGGATCAAGAATAATTCCACCAAATATGCTGGAATACATAGCTGGGTATGGTTTCTTTTCCACTGAACTCCACTTCTCGTGCAGCTTTTCAAGCAACTGGTTTTATAAACAGTATGAGAGCAACAAGAAAGTCAAAAACAATGCATTTCTCCAAAAAAGCTACAAATTAAAAAAAAAAAATGAATTAGAATGACAAAGCAGTTGACACTTCAATATTAGAAGAGAAACTTTCACTCTTGAATTCTTAATCTCTATGGAGGAAACTAACACACAAAGCTATCCATGTTCATTATATCTATAATGTATGATTAATAATTCAGCTGGATGAAAGAGTACAATTCATACAACAACACAATATTCAAACACTGAAAGAAATTAATAACTAAGTGATAGAAAAGATGGGGTTCTGAGTTTTCCACTTCTGATGAGGACGAGAACACGTGAGCTTTAAAATCACAGCCAATTTCAGCCTCCACTGCAGCCATTTCACCTTCAAATCAAAAAAAACAAAGCACCTAGTAAATTCAATAAATCACCAAACATAATTAACCTCTAACCGAAATAAACAAAATTACCAGATTTTTTATCCACAGTGATTAGGTTAGAAATGAGAGAGACCCTTTTGCTGTTTGAAGAAGAGAGTCATAGAAATATAGGACTTAAATAGAGATAATTAAGACTTTAAGCTTAAAAAAATTATGTATGAGATGGAATCCTTTTTGTGTCAGCACCTTAGCACTTTGTCTTATAGTATTGAAAAGTGATTGGTTATTAGTTGAACTTCAACACAATTACTCTCAGTTTGGAGTGCCATTTGTTCTGTCTGCATTTTGACCATGGGGTTTTGGCTATATTATCGACCAAATCAAAACATACTTAGAAATAAATCAAATACAGAGAGGAATATGTTGTTATATTAATGGTGTGTTTATGGGATTGCACGTCATCGTCTTGTCAATATAATTCACAAATTGTATCAAAAAAATGGGAAGTTTTTTTTTTTTTTTTTTAATCAGGGTATACAGGCTAACTTACGCACACATCAAATAATCCTCAAGACCCTATTAGCACCTGAATTATTGACCGGACAAGAGCTCCAATAGCTATTCCTATTAGCACCAATGATAGATTTGAACTCAAGACCTCTTGAGTAATAAGCCAAGAGTCCTATCAAATCACTCGACATCCAGACATGGTTAAAATGAGAAGTGGTTACTACAAATGGGAAAGCTCTTGTGAAACGAACTTTTTTACATGAAATCTAATCTTATTATAATAAGCAGTATATTTCTTGATACGTTTAATATAAGAATCAACATAAATCTATTGGAATTTAATCCCTTTTTTTTGTTTTTATAATGCTCTTGAAGTGTTAGTTGGCCGGCACGGAGTATATGTAATTGGGCCAAATTTTAACTTCTAGCTAATGGCTACATTCTTTCAAACTCTAGTGTTCAAAGAACACAATTAAACAACGTGACATTATAGAATCTGAACTTTATATAATGTAAGATAATTGGTTCTGATTGAGACCAACCCCTTTTATGTTCTTTCACAAAGCTACATACAACAAATAAGACAACATTCAGAAAGCTATTACATCTATTGCCTGAAACAATTTGAAAGTTGAAAGTAAATTTTGCTGGATAAATATCAGCTTTGGTAGTGTTGATTTTGTTGTAAATATTATTTAACACCCAATAAATATAACAACATAAATGAACCCACTGGATAAATACTATTGTCTTTGTAACAATTAGCCATGGCAAGGATTCGAATAGGTTGATTAATAGCATTCTTATTGACTGACTTGAGCTTTCTAATATACTTCCAATTGCTTGGCATGCCTTTCACAGAAAGATTTTACCCTGCCTAACGCTTCCTCGAGGGAGTATTCTCAGCAGCAAAAGTTATTCGGAGCCAATCTTTTAGCCCCACAGCAGTTCCTGCGAAACAGAATCGATGCAATTCCATTTGTGGTAACCATGAGTTGATTGATATATTAATAATTCAGAATGGTATACTTAATTGAATGCCCACGACTGATAAGTTACATGTTCAAATTTGTTTGTTTCTTACCAGGAAGAATGATCACAGATTCCTCTTTTGCCAGCTTGAAACAGAAATCGATATCATCACTGATATCGTAGGATGAAACATTAAGTTTCACCTGCATCAAATTAAAAAAATTAAATTTGTAAGATTAATTTTATAAGGCTTTTGTTTACGAGAACGCTAATTCGCTATTTCTTACCATTACAGCCATGACCCTCTGGTTTGTAGGGGCAACTAATGCAAGGAATCTCCTTTATCCATTCATAGCAGATACTGAGCTATTCTTCAGTATATTTATGGTTTGCTGGAAGAAAAGCTCATCAGTTTGCTCGATGATGCGAGGAACGGCTGCCTGACACAACAAATGCATTTATAGATGAGAAACAAACCTTTTGATCAAGTTATCCAAACAATTTGGTACCTAATACAAGCACTTGTACATTCATAGTAGTTGATTTATTAAAACTTTAGTTGCTAGGAAGCTATGGATATGTTATTTTATCATATTATTTTCCTCTATTTATTTGTTGTTCTCAGCATATTATTGACTTCAGAAACTTCAACTGCTTTGTGATGAAAATTGCTTGTTAATGATATATTTGGGTATAAAACATACGTTGCAATAAAGAAAAGTGCCTTGAGGTGTTCAAACAAGCATTTGAAAAACAAACCTGAATGAAGGTGCAGGGCCCCCAAGGAGATCAAAGTACTTCTTAATACGCTCAACAACCTGAGAAGAAGAGATCATGATGAAAACCAACTCCATGAGATGTAAAAAAATGCAAACAAGGTGTAAAAAAAATTATGATATGAAGTAAAACCAGCCCTTGTAACAAAAGGGAATGGAGTGAACTACCAGGTATTTGAAGAAAGTAAAAGACATTGCCCCTCGGTAACAAAGGTCAACTGGAACTAGACGTAGTACCAAAAAACAACTAATCCAATTCTGCATAATGTTGCATCCTCTAATTGAAATCCAACTAGCCTGACCTTAAACAGTATGAACCATAGAACTCGGACGAAGCTCATTACAGCACCCATTTAGTGCAGTCAAGATGAGAGAAGTTTATCTGTTAAATAACTCACTTCTCTTATGCTGTGTGACTGCTTGAATACAAAGACTTCAAATCACTTATAGCTAATTAAGTTCATTTTTTGTGAAGTTAAAAGCACACACTTAAGCAGTTCTAGAAAACATTGATCACATATACAAGAGACAAGGATAAACCTTCGGTTTCTAAACATGCCGCAAGGGTCACTTGTCACGAACCAACCAAGTCGCCATCCAGGTACATCCATCTCTTTGATAAAGATCCAAGAGTAAGAACGGGAACAATCGAGCCAAAACTCCCATTGCACAAATGGCTTACTCCCAAAAGCAAGGTGCCCATAAACTTCGTCAGCGATGACAAGAGTTCTTAGCTTGTTTGCAGTTTCTGCAATCTAAGCACAAAACAGGAAATTGAATTACTCCGCTTGTTTAGTTAAATGTAAATTTTGTCCCTGAAGACATAATCTTTGTAGCACTTGAAGCAACACTTTATTGACTAACCTTCTTCAAATGTTGGTAAGAATACATTCCACAAGGATTGCCGGGGTTTATAACTACCACTGCTACAGTGTTTTTATCTGCAAGAGCTTCAACACATCAAGATCAACCTCCCAACCTTTCTCAGGCAAAAGATCAAAATACCGAACCTCAAGATGTCTAAAGCCAGCACTAATTTCGTAGATTGGGAAGCCTGGCCTTGGAAGCAAGATATTTGCACCCGGGCGCGCAAGCATTGCCATTGCAACATCTATGGCTTGCGTGCACCACAAGTGATAAATACATTTCCGATGATAACTTGTAAGGAAGATCCCGAGAGAGATATTCAGCAACAGCCCTTTAAAAAAGAACAATAATCAGAAGTGAGTAAAAACCCTCCAAAAAAATCTCCAGGGGAAAACAAGCGGAGACAGCCAAATCAGTACTTTGCTGCTAATTTCTGGAACTTCAAGATAACTTAATCAGTGAGAAACTGAAGCTATATTAAACAAACACAAGAGAAACTGCCGGCTTTGAACTCAGACTTTAAGAAATTAGAACCTGCACTAGTTCATGAACAATAAACCCACACTATACTCTTAGATAACTTCAAATTGAAAATCAAGAACAACATTAAACAACCCAGATGTAACTCGGAATAATTAAATAAATTAGGACCAAACAACCCAATAAAACCAACACAAAAAAGAATCAAAAGCTAAATCGAACTTGGCCAGGTAATTTCTTGATTAGATTCAATGGATTACATCCACAATCAATCACATGAAAACAATCAGCAATGAACAGTAAATACAACACAAATACCAATCTCCAAAATCAAGAATTTGCATGTGAACCCAAGTAAAAAAAATTAAAAAAAAATACCTTCTTGTTTGGGAAGACCAGAATGGGGGGCATAGCCATTGATTTATCAGATTGAAGAGCGTCAATAACAGCTTCTGGAGCAACATGAGTAGTGTGGAAGCAAGAATAAGCAGAAGGGTCACCCATACCCAGAGAGAGAACTCTCTTACCGTCTCTGTCATCAGTTGTTCTGCATTAAAAGACTCAGATCCCCTTGATGGTAATGTAGAATTCGTATCCACTCCGTGTTTCATCGTTCCGTTATTAATTTCCATGTTTGTTTCAAACTGACAGTTTTTAAAAACAAAACAAAGAAAAATTAAAAACCCATTAAGTTGTGGCTTCTGAATATAATTCTCGAGCTTTTGAGAGTTTAAATGTTGGAGAAAGTGCACGCCCACCGCCACGTTGCAGCTTCCGTTGTACTCTCTGCATGAAACAAATCTGTGGCTTTTATAGACAACGTATCATTTTGAAGTACGGCTATGAATTTTTCGTCCAAATAAATTAATTAATGTTAAATATGGAAAAAATAAAAATAAAAAATGTTGGATGTGATCTTACAGTAACAAATTTTATTTACATTATTTTATGGTTAATTAAGAGTTAAAACTTTTCTACCCAATAATAGTTTATAACACTTTTTATCCATATATTTTTAAAATATCATTTACTCCTACTATATTCCGGTTTTACTGGAAATAACACACCCAATAATCTTTTTCGGACTAAATGTTACTGGAATTTCTACTGGAGTGGAGTTTTTACTGAGGTCAAACCTCGTAGACAAATGGACCCTAATCGTTTTGTCCCTTTTTCATTTTTTATCCCTTCTAAATATGCTTATTATCAATTACCCAAAAAATAATATGAAATTACCCAAAAAAAAGGTTCTTGGCTGCGTTTGGTTGAAAATTTGGGGGTTTTGAAAAGTTTTTTGAAAAAAGTTAAAAAATTGAATTGGGCGGTATTACGAGGTAAAATTTATAAATTATAAAATCTCCTTTATGTTTGTTTTTTTTACAAAATACCCCCTATATAAACATTAAGTTAACAAAAATACCCCTAACCCACCCTCAACACCCCCCCGGCGACCACCACCGAGGTGGCCGGAGTCGCCATATGGGCGCATGACCGGTTGGATCTTCCGGTCATGCGTCGCTATGGCCTTTTCCGGCCAGATCCAGGTGGATCTGGCCGAAAAGGCCAGATCTACGGTCAGATCTGCCGTCAACGCCAGATCTGGCCGTATTTACTCTCAACGCGGCCAACAACGGTCGTCGTTGATGGTCAACGACGACCGTTTGTTGGCCGTCGTGACCGAGTGTTACGCCAAAGATCTGGCCGTCAACGGCCAGATCTTTGGCCTTGGGTTTGAATGGGAAGATGGTGGGGGGATTTAACTTTGGTGGGGGAATTGGATGTTTTTTACTTAATGTTAGGTTTTTTTTTTTTTGGTTTTGTTTAATTTTTTAAGAATCTGGCCTTTTCCGGCCAGATCCCCGTGGATCTGGCCGGAAAAGGCTAGATCGGCGCACTGCCGGCCAGATTTAGCCGTATGCGCATTCTACACTACAGATTCCGGCCATTTTCGGTGTGGTGGCCGGAATCTGGTAATTTGGATTTGGGGAGTTTTTGTAATTTAAAAAAAAATATTTAGGGGTTTATTATTAAATTATCAAATTTAAAGGTTTAAAAAAATTGAATAATTTTGGGAGTAGTATTCCCAAAACTGAAATTTTGGGTAATTTACTGTTTAACTTTTTTGGGAATACTAAAAGTAGTATTCCAAAAGTTTACCAAACGCAGCCCTTGTTAGTTGGGATATGATTTTCTGTTTTTATTTTCACAAAACACAGAATTTATAAGTGAGGAGAGAAATATTTTAATAAAATATTTAACTTTTCTTTTATTTTTTATCTTCTTTTTTATAAAATAAAAATTTTATCTTCAAATCAATATCTTAATCATAAAGAAATACAACAAAAAATTGACATGTTTGAGACAAATTCTTCAAAACGAATAAAATAACAATATTTGAATGCTTTTTATCGATTTTATAAATGATAAATTTTGTGTTTTACATTTTTTTTTCCAAATAAATATATCAAATGCCTTTTTATTTCTCCTCACTTTTCAATCTTTTTCACTGTTTTTAAAAAACATAAAATAGAAACATAAAACTCATAAAAGAACCATTAAATTTCTCACTAACTTCTAATGAAATGTTAGACTTAACTTATATCGAAGAATTATAAATGTTAATTATAGTTCATATATATTTAAATGTTATTAATGTAGGATAAGCTAGTAGTAAAATTGTAACGATAAAGATAAATTTATAATATCAAAAGTCGATTTGAGTTGCAAATGACAAAATATTTCACATCACAATAGTAAAATTCATAAATATATATCGATATTATCCAAAAATTGATTAACGACTAAAAATTTTAATGTGTTTTACTTAAAAGTATAAAATAACATGAAGTTTCCATAAATATGTTTAATATATGCATATTATGTTAGCCTAAAGGAAAGAGAATTAAAAAGTACAAAATAATATAAAAAGTTTCCATAAAATGCATCATGAAAATACTTTATTTTCATGTTTTCACACCACGTTGCAATGATAATATATAAATTGAGATTAAATCTAATTAAATAATACATAAAAACAAATTATCGAATAAATATTGAATTTAAAACTAAAAATCAACTTTTTTTTTTTTTTCTATTTCCAAGCAACAATATTATTAAATTTTGTTTGATTTGTTTTCTAGAATAATTAAGTTGTTTGACCCAATTGGTCGCCGAGTGTTTCACAAGCCGAGTAGAAAGAATTCGAAACGAAACGAACTTCCTCTAGCGGCCACAAATCCGTTTTGATTGAACACGAAACTTTTTGATTGATCTTGAAAATTTCGTTTTTTTCTTGATTTTGACCTCGTTTTCGTTTTCGTTTTTTAGTGAAAGCTATAAAACTTCGACGTGGGCTTTTCTGTATCCAGAAGGCAGAAACAAAGCCATTTTGTCCTTTTCCTAACCAATCGGCCGTCGTCTTTTACTATTTCGTTTCCGCGTGTTTAGCCAAAAAAACGATTTCTCAAAATGAAAACGAAAGTTTGGTTTCTGTGTGTTTCAAAGTACATTTTGATTGTTTTTTGCCATGTGGGATTGGGGTTCCCTCTCACAAAGTTTGAAAACAATTCTTTTCACAAAACTGTAATTTCATATACAAATTGCAATATTAGTATTCATCATATTATAATTCTAACAAAAGCATACAACATTTTTATGAAAAAATTAAAATAAATAATAAATTACCTTTTATGACGAAATTATTCGCTCTTCGATCGGATTGGAATCTGAAAGTGAAAACGAAAATGAAATTGAGAAAAAAAATAAGTTAGTTGTCAGAGTAGAATCATGGCCCATTAATGGATAAATGCCTATCCCCCATCCTGGCCCATTAGACCCCGCTAGAGCTTTGACGCAATAGCAAAACTCGCCCTAAGTTTTGAAATACAAAAACCCTTGCTGTTATTAATGGACCGTTAAGAAATATAAATAATTAGAAGCAATTACAATTTCCCTTAAGATTTGGTATAAGTAACACTTTTAGTCATAAGGATTTTTTAGTACTGCCTTGGTCCTAAGATTTGATAATTTCATTTTTCAAGGACTAAATCATTATTCACAAGACCAAAGGGCACTTAAAAAACCTCAAAAATGAAATTCCTCGGGACACAAGAGAACTTTATTATTCGAAAAGCCAGGAGATTTTTGTAGTCAATCAAACTCCAAGGGGATTACTGTGTTAACTCTATATTAGCTTTATTTTATAAATGAGTGTTTTGAAAAAAAAAAAAAAAAAAATTGAAGAAAATTGTTTTGTAATGTTACGTAAGCTACGTAACAGACATTGACATCAGCGTTCATAAATTTAAATAAATATTACATCATTATCAAATAAACTTTGAAATTGATAACATTTCATCGGTCCACCAAACATTGTACTTTTATTAATTGCAAAAATACCCACTATTTTAGAACTCTTTAATAAATAAAGGACATCACCATCACGAAGATGATACCAACAATATCCCATCACTAACCACTTGCTCGCCACGTGGCAATTCGTCATCATTTTTGTTCATCATATGAACCTAAAATTTGCAATTATAAATAGAAATTACATAGTACCATTTCCAGCTAGGCCCAACGAGAAAGTGACTCTGAAAACTTTCACATACGTCGCGATCTATCATTTAATTTTACTACTGTTAGTCTTTTCTTGTCACCTGATGGTGACAAGTCTTTGGCCCCACTTCTATAGGGTGTCTTTTCTAGATTGTCCTTACTCACCCGGTGACACCGCTTCATGGGCCCACGGCCCAGTTTCAATTTTGCTTTCTCCTCTTGTGGGGATTTTTTTTTTTCCATTTTTCATTAAAAAAAAAACCACCTTTTTTTTAATAACAAAAAAATGCTTTAAAATTTTTGAAATTACAGAAACATAAATCCTTCGACTATTAAGTTTTCATTTGAAAAACCTTAAAGAAACTCGAGTTATGAATAAAAATAGAAGAAATAAAGTACCTGGAAATTGGGAGATTGAACTTGAATTTTGAGGCAGAGGCAGTGTTGATATGAGTTGAAGGAAGCACCAAAAATGGTAGAGATTTGAAACAAAATTGTTGATTGTGTTTATGTGTTCCAAGTTTGTAGGGGAAATAGTATTATATAGAAATGGTGAAGGGTGTTGAAGTAATTTAAAGGATAAGTTTGAAGAACACTGATCATGGACGTCTTTTATACGTGGAACCCCTTCAAGAACAAGCGATTATAAGATATTAATGCTTATCATCAACATAGGATGAATCAAAGTGGGTTTATAGAATTAAACTTTTATATTATTAGATCCCATAATTTATTTTATTAATCCTGATTTTTATGTTACCTTAAAACATGATCTTGTTCACAATCATATCCTAATTAATAATAAAATAATTGAATATATATATATTACGTTTATCTTGGAGAATACATTGAATCACATTCTTTGATTTGGGAATAAGAAAAACAATGCCAATGACAACGTTTTCAAGTTGGCGAGCCAAGTCAGCAATCGCAAGATGCAATTCTCATGCTTATCCATGCCTACGTGGCATGGTAATTCACACCCTTTTGAGTTTTGTCTATTAAACTGCCAAATTGGACCTTCATTTTTTTTTTTTTTTTTAATTGCTGGGATTTGTGTTTAGCACAACTAATCTCTTAGGGTTTTAAAGTTAACGATTGAATCTCCAGTAACAGTTTCTATCAATAGTCGAGGTAGATCGAACATAAGACCTCTTCAGTAGTATACTATTGATTATACACCCAAAAATCCTAGTTAATGGTGGACTAGATCTACTCTTAAATAAAAAATAAACCATTTTTTCTATGGGAAACTCTTCCATTTAGTAGTTTGACTTTTCTGTCCTCCCCTTTTTCCCTAATTTAGTCCCTACAGTATATCACACAAATCACTATATTGCGAATTTTAATTCTATTACCTGGCTTCTTTTTCATTTCATACTTACTTACCTCATTTTTGTCTTTCATCCCTCAACCTAATTAATTATTTAACAAACATGCATTCCCTCTACTAATCAAATATTTGATGCTGTAACTTACGCCCCTTTTTAATAGAATAAAAATTAATATATAACTATAAACAAATAATTTACTTAATAATTATCATTATCTTCCCATGGTTTTAATAAATTTCAAATGATTATGTTATACTCTTTTTACAAGTATACCCTCCAACTAATGATAATGACATAACATAATTAAAAAATTATAATTAGATTATGTTTCAATTGAATCATTCGTTGAACTTTTACCATGGCAATCTAGTGTTAAGAACAAACATAATTGTTTACTATTTAATTAAAAAAAAAAAAAAACTTAATCATATAAAATATTACTTTAAAAATTCATATAACTCAACTTATTTTTCCATCCGGTCCTTGCTTCTTCCCTTCCATGTTCATCACAAATTTCCATAAGATATCAATAACATCAATTGGTAAGACAATAATTTGAACTGAAGGCAAATTAAGTCAGGGTTTAGGATTTAGGATTTTTTGCTTTCTTTACATTGAAGAGGTTTTTCCGTGTAAAAATTTTATTGTATTTCCTTGTTAATTGAATGTTATTTTCAACACATTTACGCATGGTTTTGCTTCTCAAGGATTTATTCAAATAGAAAAATATTGTGTTATTACATTATTTATTTTGCTCAAGATTTAGTGGTTTTTTAAAAGTTTTTACCTCTTGATTGGTAAATAATGACAGAGCCGTAGAGGCCTCTCTCGGCAAAAATATGGATCCGTCACTGTCCTAGTTGACCGCTCGACCACTTAATGGTGGTTATCTTCAATTTTAATTTCACAAACAACTTCTCTTACACCGTGGAAGTTAATAATTTGTTGATGTTATAGAAAATTTCAAATGGTCGTGACACAAGGTTAGAATTTTAGCTCTCTCATAGTGGTACCATTAATGGCTTGGGACCCCAAGTCCATGTATCTTGCCAATTAAAGTATTAAACTAAATGTTGGAGTTAGAGATGGCAATGGGTCATGCTATGCCTAAAAATTCAAGAATCATTGTGTCATGGGTCGTGCCATGCCAAGACAAGCAAATATTTGTGCCCTGTCATGCCATGCTGACCCACCAGATTTGAAAGCCCACGGCATGGCCTGTTATATATCGTGTCGTGCCTTCAGCCGATCCATGTGCTTTGTAAAAATATTTAATTTTAATATTTATAAATTATGATAATTTTGATTTATTATTAATAATTATTATAAAAATATTTTATATGTTATATTTAGTGACATTTTGTATTTATATTAATTACAAAATATATAATTACTATGAAATATAATAAAATAATGAGACATTGAAAAATTAATTGAATTTCAACATTTTTTATTACTTATAAGTTATAATTATAAATTACAAATACAAATTTAGAAATTAGGATTAAAAATTATTATGCATCTTCATTTTTATTAAATTTTTTTTATTTTTATTTGTTTTGTTTTGTGCCATACCGTGCCAACCCACGTGCTTTTTTTAAGGTAAACATGCGGATTTGAACCTATACAGAAAATTTGGAAGACCTCTGTCCTAACTCCTAACCATTAGACAATGCCACAATGGACGCCTTTCATTTCCAATTTATTATTATTATTTTTATATATATATATATATATTTTGGTTCTCTTGTTCTGATTCTCGTGTTAAACTTTGGGCTGGGTCCGAAATCCAAACCCAACAACTTAAGAGATGTAACCAATTTTATTGGGCACAATTGAGTTGGGTTGATTGGACTCAAATTAAGATAATTAGTACAAATGACAAGATATTTGTACAGCTATCACACGTTCATAAATTGAATGAAGTACGTAATGTGATCACCATTGGATGGAGAAGTGAAATCATAATCAAGCGTCCCATGATAATTATATTACGAGACCTTGATTTTCGATTGTCCTATCAAAATTTCAAAATACAATACATTAATGTTGTTTCATAGTCACGGGTAGCGTTAATCACATTCAACGTTTTCCTTTCATCGAAGGACGGGCCTATCCATTTTAAAACATTATTCAGTTTTTTTTTTTTTTTTTTTTTAAGTAGGTGTTCGAGGGCGATTTACATACATAAATTAATTTTGGAGTCTATTGAATACTCTACGGACTTAAAAAATCAAATAAGTTACAATATTATTATAGTACATGACTCAAAAATTTAAACTCTGAAAGAAAAGATCAAATATTATTGACTAACAAAGTAATTCCTTGTAGTTAATACATTACAGTAAGTCAAAATCTAGGGCCCTGTTTGTTACCTTCTTGAGAATATTATTTGGTTTTTCCTAATAAAATTAAACGGTAAAATTGGTTTATTCTCAAAATACTATTATATATTATTTAATTTCTTTTAAACTCTTATAAATTTGTTAATTTAACTAAATATCCCTAATTTTTTTTAAAAATTATAAAAATACCCCAATAACCCACATTTACTAGATTTCGGTCACCACTGCTAGAAGCTGACCGAAATATGGTATAATGGCGTATTACCTACTGAATCTGGCTTGTAATACGCCGATCTAACATTTTTTCAACCAGATCTATGGCTAAAGATCTGGTCGTAGCCTGTAGCTAGTCATCAATGATGGTCGTATCTTTGGCAGTCGTTGAAGACCAAATGCGACTAGATCTGACCGTCAATGGCAAGATCTAACTGTAGATCTAGCCTTTTCTGGTGGATCTGACCAAAAAAAAAAATCATATCGACGTACGAATGACAAGATCCAATTAGTCATGCGCCAATACGACGACTCCGGCTATTCTTCGACGTTGGTGACCGACTGTCCGTATTTAATGAGTGGATTAGAGGTGTTTTTGTTAACTTTTAATATTTTATCATAAATATATTTAATAAATAAATAAATAAACATATGAGATATTTTTATTAATTTTTAAATCCTATACCGTGATAGCCATTCAATCTAACTTTTTTTCAAAATCTTATTATAAAAGTATCATAATAATCAACAAGACGGACCAAAAAAAAATCGATTTCTTTTACATGTACATAATTACTAAATTACCACATTTGGTTTCAGTCTGACGTTGATGCAATATTTTAAATTCAAAAATCAATTCAACGGTGGAGATTCATTTTCCAGAAAGCTTTGAATTTTGATGCCCAATTCTGAAATCCCTTGGAACTTTCTTTCTTGGCTGCAACGAATGTACTCATTAAGTTAAACAGTGATTAGTTGAACAGTTGTTGACACGTAGGTAACACAAGAAGACGTACACGTGTAAAGATCAGCAGGAGTGAAAGGAGGGAGACGAGCAGATAATTGGTGGAGATCACAGAAAAGGACGATGAAATTTAAAACTGAGGGAATGGGTAACCCAGAAGCAGATGATGAAGTTAAAAGACTGCAAAAGTGGACTCGCAATACTAAGCACAGAGGACGGAGAGGCGTAGGCGGAGGGCGGCGCCGCTTACTTCATCTTTTCGTCATCTCATATCTATTTCTCTTTCTCTATCTCTCGATGTCCGAGTTCTCTTGTGTTTTTTTTAATCATTTATTATTTTTAGACTGTGGATATCTTTTACAACCCTATCGTTTCTAATAATACACTTACACACAAATCTTACAAAAATCTCTATCTAAAGTAATATAACAAAAATTAAATAAAATAGTGAATATAATAAATTTATTATTTTATTCTTTCTTCATTTTTTATCATCTCGCTTTATATAAAATTTTTATAAGAATTCTTTATAAATTATAAATATAATATTATTGTTTAAAAATATCATAAAATAAGGATAGTATTGACATATATTTTGATTTTATTAGTTATTAAAACATTTAAATTTATGTATGTATTGATAGATAGACTGTATTGATGTAATAATTTTTTTAATGAAGTACATCTTTACACTATTATGATATAATAGTAAATAATTTATAAAAATGTATATGAAAAATAATTTAATAAACATGTATGTATTCAATTATTCCCACTCTCGTATTGATAATGAGAAACTTTTTTTATATTTTTTTATTTCATCACTTAATATTTCTTAATTAGTAATTAAAAATCCACTTAAATAGGAAAT